ATGATTTTTTAATTATCCGCCCAAAACAAACCCACCCCCCAAAAAGTGAATGTTGCTAAGACTTCCCAGCGGCCATTTTTCAAATGACATCCTCACTTTGCTTTGGCTCTTCTGACTAATTTTCAATCCCATTTTTGTCTGCGTTGCCCCCAGGTGGGTACCCCTGAATCTACAGAGATAATTCTGGGCCATACTGACACAATCCCACCATTTCTTTGCCCAAACAGACCTCTCTTTTGGAAACAATCTCTGAGGGTACTTTTTGTGCGCCTCCGCCTGGCGGAGAATTTTCCTTGAATTTGGACACTGCACCCACAGGTATTTTATGGCCACCCCCATATCAAGCTGCATACGGTGGCAAGTGATCATAGAGCTATGCAAGTGATCCAGGGTCCTTGTTTGAGCAGGGTTTAACCCCCGTTCTCAGGGAGGGGGATCCCCCAACTTTTTTTGGGGGGGGGGAGTGAACGTCATGGCAAAAGAGCGATGTGAGGGACTACTTTAATTCCCTTCCTTCCAACTGTGTGTGAAAAGCCAAGCCAATTTAGCCTCACATTTATTTTCCAAAAGTTCATTAACCCTGGTTAGATAAAAGAAGTTGCAAATTTTTGGTTTCCTGGCTAAAAAAAAGAAACACTTCCGGAAAATTTTGAATTTTGTTCTGGATCCCTACTGTGCAAAGTAACATGACCAAACAAAACAAACTGAAAAAAAAATCCGACAGGAAACCAGCCAACCAAACGCTAGAAAGAAAGAAGATAGCAAAGTGAACTGTCAGGAACCGTCGTGATCACACAAAAGCACTCAGAAGTCGTTGTAGGACATTGGGCAAAATAAAAGCGGGCCATTGTATAAGCAGCGCCACCATTGTTAAAGGATGTCCATACTAAAACAAATAACGAAGTTTGTTTACGTTCAGAAACCAATTAAGTGAGGATATAAACACTCAAGCAATGTTGTGCTAGTTTTGTTCCAACAAAAGCAGGAACATGCATGTACTTGAAAACGAAGTTTGAACCACACCACGATTTATTTGTATTTTTCATTCTAGGTTCAATACATAACTTTTATCTAATTTGGGGGGAAACTTGTGCAATCACTCTTGCCAAAAGATCTTTAAATAAACATAGAATTTCTTAATAGGTTCTTCAATAGACTTAACAAAATATTCAGATTGACCATTATTCCTGTATTGGTGAAACGTTTGTGTACAATGCCCAGAGAAAACATTAATAAAGCAAATTTTGCACATTGTGACATACAACTACTAGTGTCTTCAGTGCTTTTATTATAAATATTATTATAAACAAATTATAATTTTTAATTTAATTATAATTTTGGGGTTTATGTCGTTATTTTTTCATGGAGGAAATTACCTGATCAACAAAGACGACAGTTCTGTTCGGCTATTTCTCTTGCATGTGATTAATGATATCTATTAAAACCGGTTGAATGTAAACATTCCTGACAGAGAAATCAATTTAGAATAAAATGTGTTCATGTAGAGATAACAAAATGTGTTCATATGGAGGTAAGCGGGGAAATACAACACCACATGCTGGCTTTTATTAATAATAACACATCACCTTCACTCGTATAAAGGTCAGGTAAAATCAGACCAACTTCCATGACAATAATACGGGCGATTCACAATAGTGCGCCTCCAAGAGTTTGCACGCGTTGGCCGACCACAACGAGCGAAATCTGTCGACCCTTGCCAAACGTGCATTGGGTCGACAAAATTCGCGCTTTGCAAATGGCCAATGCGTAGCAAACTCTTAGAGGCGCACTATTGTGAATCGCCTCTTTTGAAAAAAAAATTATCCACATTGACTGGTAATCAGATACTACGAGAAGGATGGTTTGTTAATTACAGTGCACAACGTTGAATTCTTATATAACGTAGTCGCCAGTACTCACTGTAAATGCCATACACAGCTGCATCCTATCTACACTTTTCCAATTTCAAAAAATGGACATTTCTGGCGAAAAAAAGTTGTCCAATTATATTTTACCAAACTTTTTCCTCCTTGATTAATCCTTTTTCTGTCACAATTACAAAGCTAGTTATTCTAATTTCATAGTTTTTGCCAAACATGCAGTCGTGCACATATTCTCATTTAGATTACACGTGTAGACTCGATTACAGTGATGAACTATATTGAACTTAATAGTGTACGTGAACTGAAGGACAAACATCAGGTTAAAGACTTTTGTAAGCCAAGCACAGGCAGTAAACGGAATATTCCGTAGAGCGGGAACTTTAACGGAATCCCACCCGCTGTTCCACAGTCCTTATTCGGTTCCTTCGCATTCCTCTTCCTGAGGGGCAAACTATCTTTCTAAGCCGCCTTTGAAACAGCTTGTAGCGGCAGGTGTATATGCAGGGATTGACCACCATGCTTAGGGAATTCAAGATAGAAAAGACGTAGTACAAAATGTTTCCGTAATTGGCATTTAGCCCCACATTGAAGAGAAGGTAATCCGTTTCTGATGGCATGCAGCAAACCACGTAGGCGATGGTGATGATGATTAGAGTGCTGGCGACGTTCTTGCTCCGCCTCAAGATGTTGTCCTGCTTGGCCGTTCGTCGATATGCCCTCTCCTTCTCCCTAAGAATCAGAATGACGCGGCTATAGCACCAGCACATTACGGTCAATGGCAGGAGGAATATGAACAAATACAGAGCGACGCCGCCCCAGACCCTGCCGCTTTTGGGGAACTTCAAATAGCACCAACCTTGGTGATGATGCCCGGCCAGAACGATTGCGTACGTCTGCGACCCGAAACCCAGGGTCCACGGCAGCAGAAAAGCGGCTCTGTTGATACTCCTGAGTTGGAACTTCCCATACCACACGGCGTGGCATGACACAGCATAACGCTGGACGGCGATCAGAACTAGATTGAAGGTGGACGTGTAGTACATACTCCACAAGAAATACTCCGTGTACCAGACCTTACAGTACACCACCCTGGCGATGGGATCTGAAGGGACTTCAACATAGGCTGGATGGAAGATCACCCTAGCGGCAAAGAACACCATGACGCCGATCAAATCGATGGTAGACTGGTGCAGAATGAGTTTATTGGTGGCACTGTTCCCTGTCCTCGGATTAGAGAGGAACACGACGCATACAATACCATTCCCCAAGAAGCCAGCGATGGTAATTATGATATCCATCGCTCGGATGACCGGAAGTATGTCGTCAGTGGAAATGCCAGAGAAGTTACCCTATAAAGAAATTAAGGACAATCCTATTAGTAAGTTACCAGATCGAATGCGATAGAGTGCCGAAGTGAATACTCACACGTACAAGTATGTGTGTAAATATTGTTTTTCATTATAAGACTTGATACCAATATAGCTCAATCGCAGAATACCCCACCACCCCGCACGATCAACCTCATAATCAGGTACAGGTCAAAGTGTCGCACTCTTCTCAAGGGATTTCCACCTTGTACCCACGTAACCAGTCATTCCAGGCGTCTTTTTTTTTTTTTTTTTTAGAGTGGCGGGGGTTTT